TATATATATCTAGAACAGTTCTTTCGTTTTTAATTCACTACGAATAATAGAAATAATCAGTCTTACCCAACCTTTCCAAAGCTTTTGTCGGTGAACGGTCACAAGCTAGCGAAGGTCTTCCTCGCGACCTGTTTGCTTGTAACATGCCGATGGCCATCACCACGGTCCTGAGCTTCTAACCCAATCAGGGTTTCACATATTCAATACCCATACCAGCATCTACTACATGTTATTCGTCATTATCAAATTAATCGGATCGGCAATCCACGTCGTTCCCCTGAAACGTTTCCAACTTTCCAGCCGCAGCAATCCCTTCCCGATACCTGTTCCATGGCCATACCGATGAGACCCAGGCAGCGTCCACAGACTCGGCTATGTCGAAGTAGGAATCGATATAGGAGCGCGAAGAGCTCCTTCAATCAGCCTTCGCAAATGCATCAGCCGCGACAATACCAACCGCATCAGTAATAGCAGCAGCGCCAGACGCGTCAGAAGTCCCTCACGCTATGACCGTAGCGGCACGCGACGAACTATGCGCTTCTCGTCGCCGTTGTCGGTGGTAAAAGGCCGCGCGATACCAGCTCTCTCTCAGTCTTGTTGATGTTGCCGTGAGCGGCGTTCGACAACAACAATTCACTAGGAGGGCAGTTACGCTAGCAGTACTAAGTGTCGTGTTCGTTCGAGCGACAGTTTTGCCGGTGGACGACAACGCTGGCGGGTGACAGAGCAGTGAGCGCTGGCGCGTCAGCGCAGTGTCGGAGTGTCGTTGTATTTGACAGCGTGACTTTTCGATTGGTGGGGTGAGGTTCCACTGTCTGCCAGGGGTTCAAAAAGGAGGCTGCACGCAAGGTTATGGTACATCGATTGCAAGACATCGTCATCACTAGGGTCGTCGAAAAAAGTCACGAGACGAAGTCGAATAAAACGAGGAATAAGGGCATCTCTGAAAGATCGAGTTCTCAGAAGGTACAAGACTTTCACGGAGGGAAAAGGAAAACAGAAAGCGAACTGGAGTCACCTCTCTAGGCTAGGTCGTATAAGTTTGTGACGATGCATGCGTGCATGGAAGGATCGTACGTCTGTTGAAAGTGATGTTCGCTATTCTGTGCCTTCAACTCGTGAGGTGAACGACACTTCACGAATTGCGACGAAAATAAAACTGCCAGTGAAGGTGAATGCAGCACGAAGTACTCAAGACGAAGTGGAGCTAATTGTACCATGAGTACATCGTGGACTACGCTTCTCTGCCTGGTCGGATGTATCTCGCAGGTAAGAGCTAGCCACGGAAAGGGGCCTAGCGTGTACTTCAGATATCGAATATTAGAGCCTTAGAGAAGGTGAAGAAATCTGAACTCGTCAAAAGCTTACATTAGAACTCGAAATTCCATTAGAGAGTGTGCATAAAAGGAACTACATGGTTTCCGCTTATGGTAACTGAATTATCCTTTATTATATTTTTTCCGCTTTGCACAAGTCGCTTTACGAGCTTCATACGGTTTTTGCACGTGCTTACCGCAAAGTTCAGCTGCGCGGGTGATTGGCATTTCGTCAAGGCGCCCATAAGTCAACTGTAACCGTTTAAAATACCTACTTTACTAAAAGCTAAAAAAATAAATTTAAACACTAGGAATTACTGCTAATTTAAATTGGTCGTGTAAAGTAGATCCGCCCGAACTATGAGAAAGTTATTTATATAACTTGGTAATAATTTAGTAAAGATTTGAAATTGGTAATTGTTATAGAGAAGTGGGATCATTATATTTATATGTTTAGCTCACGAGCAAAAACTTCGAAGAAATATGTGGCGTTAATAGGCCAAACTACACCATGAAACAGCTGGGTTTTTTTGAACGTTTTCAATCTGTCATTTCTAACTGGCTATGTTAACCTATTCATCTAAAATTCTTAATACGTAATATAATTTAAAGAACGAAAAGTAAGCGAGTAGTTTATGACAATTCCTGCTCAACCCTAGACATAAGAGGGATTGGCCAAGATTTCCTAGACCGAGAGAACTCGACCCTAAATCCCATCGGGAACGATACAAATTTTGATATTGTTTACGTTTTAGTACGCCAAATTTACGAAATGATTGTGATTCTCAATCCTTTATTTTTTTTTATGTAGTTCTATTCATCTTACCACCGTTACAATGTAGGCATCAAAGTGGACTCGAGATATAAGTAGGCCCGCAAAAATAACCACACAGATGATGTCAACTGGTATATGTATGACAACACTATACTAATTCGTATTATACTCATTGCGAAATCCGAATACGCTTACATTAACAACAGTAGTTAATGGGCTTCAAATCACTTACTCCGTCTTCAAGCAGTGGTTCTCACGGTGGTCGTGTTCTGTACCCCTGATGAATGTACCATCATCATTTGGGGTAGAGCTTCTTCCTTCAACCTTTTCGCCTGTTTGACCTAGCTAAGCACCAATATGAATTTACCTACATACATGCACTTAGGCGTAAGGATTAAACACCCAAAAAACCATGCCGTCCATGCCAACCACTGAAAGCCAGCGACTTTGAAAATCATATACTTGTACCTTCAAGTTAAATCAACTTAACATCATATTAATAGTCTGCGCCTACTTTTCTTGAGTATAAAGCTCATTATCACCACAGTATTGTAAGACGAAAGGGCTTGTAATAGGTTGCCAACACGGGTTTTGCCACTACTTAATGATTCCATTCTGACTCGAAACGATGCCCTAGACGCGAAAATTGACCCAGTGGGATTTTACCCAAGTAGGAGCGGACCCAAGCAGTGACAACGAATCTATTGGTATCGGCAAATCCACCCGATGGTTAACTAGATAAGACTTGTACTGCAAGGAGCCACTCTCTACATTGCGTTAACCTACGACAAGATATGTGTAAATTGCCGTAGAAAATTGCAGAGGGAGGGGGAGGAAAACCGGCCATGGAACGATGGCTACGACGTGAGCGTGTATCTTACTGCAGGTAATACTATGCATTTCATTATGCACTAGATAGCCTTGTTTCGAGCGCAGGCTCGGCAATGCAAAGCTTGGCGTTTCGTTCAGTGATCGGCAACCTAATGACTGAAGGCGAACCTCAATAAAACACTGTGGCGCGACAATCGAATTACCGGGCATAATTGCAATCAGGCCGGGCATCGGTAGTAGTAGTTTGTATTATAGAGATCATTGTGACGTGCACCCCCCGATGTTTACAGCTTCTATAGGAGCATTCGTTGATCCTACTGCTGATTGGCCCATGCTCTAGTTGGTGTCAACGTCCTGGGGTCTTCTTAGCCGCTGCTGACTTAGAGTAAAATCAGATTTAGTACTTGTGCTGGTGGATTATAAAAGTACGCGATCTAGTTTGCTTGATTTTGATACTGACGGGAACCTATGTCAATTGCCGTCGAGCACTCGATATACCTAACACATAGATATAGCTCCCGTCTCTCAGGTACAAAATTGTCGAATCACAGTTGGTTTTCATAAACCTTGAACGTCTTTCTGTTCCAGTCAGGAGTTCCTTTTAGAACCCGATGCTTAGCAACAACAGGTTAGCCTGCTGTTAGAAAACTTTCCATGACTTCTGTCGCTTCCAAGGTTCCTATCGGCAAGGACGCCACCGTAATGCGTCAATAACGCTCGATCACTAGGGATTAAACGTCACGCACGATCTCTGGTAAGCGAATTTATTCAAAAGCAGCACTTCGCCGACCATGTAGGAAACAGGTTGCTCCGTAACAGCAATAAAATAGATGCGTCTGCACTGAACCATTTCTACAGGTCTACCTAGAGTCCAGGTGATCAAAATGTTCGGCAAACACTGCTTTTTTTTTTTCTTTGGGAACCTATGTGATGGCTTTGAAGCGTACGGATCGGACCTACCGTGTTGGATACCGATACGTGAGCTGGTCTATAGCTGGTATACTAATTCGCAGCGCCGACGGTAACCGCAAACAGAGACAACTCTAACAAGATCCTTCTGGAAAAAGATGGACGTTTGAGATGTATTGTGTGTAAGTTTCTACTTTAACATCTTAGCACTTTGCGGACAGTTATTAAACGTAAGTTGCAGTGGAAGCCAAGTGTATAAGCACAGGTTAAGCGTCCGTATAACTTAAGGAAAAATATTTAGCTTTAGCTTAAATTTCGTTTAACAGTTTCCACTCCAGAAATATTTACTAAAGTCTTTTTTGGTAAGGGAATCGCAAGTTTTAATCTGATTAGATATAGTGGGTGGTATGGCTCATGTACAATATGTATCTGACTTCTACTGAAGAAAATTAGCAACGTATATAATTGTGACAGGCGAAGTCGGATTATGAATGCAACTATAACTACCATTGATGTGTGTATCAAAAAAGACCCTTTGAGGACCCGGTAATACTTAAGCAACGACAGTGCGGGCAACAAATAGAAACAGCCCTATATTGTTATATTTTTTACTTCTTCCAAGAACATTATAATATAACACTGGATGCTCTGGGTCATAAGCTGAATTTGTGGATATAAAAAGTTAGAAACTGCTGGACTGAGCTGCTTGAAACAGCATCTATTTCTGCCATTGCAAGTGCCTCAGCGGAGTAGTAATAAATATATATATATATATATGGAACCTCATGATACGAGTACATTCTCATGACGGCGCAGCGATGACGTCTTTGCACGATGAAGTTGCGAACATCTGCTGATGATCTAGACTCGAACTTCTTCGTCCCGTGCTGGGAGCTGCCTGCATGAAGTGATGTTTAACGGCTGAAGTACCGGACGCGCTACACAAAGTAGTAAATGCAACAAACACAAGTTTGTATATGCAAACTTTGAAATTATGCTAATGTGGCTTTGAGTACATTTGAAGTGTTGTATTTACATCTTCTAAGTACTACGCTAAACAATTTACATAACAATACATGGCCATAATAGATACTGACAACTATGCGAACAAATTTTTTCCTATTCCCTTAGTTCTATAGAGCCCTAAGTTCCCTACGAGGGAACATTAAGGCTCCGAACTTATCTCATTATCAATTAATTAAATCATTAAATAAATGAAAATGGTTATCTATTATTGAACGAAATTTTACCAAGCAATTAAGCCTAGTGTTAAATATCTAGCAAACGACTTAGTTAGATTCAAAAAAACCTGCTTTGTTTTTGTCGTTCCAATGACTGTTGGTCTGATGGTCAATTGTGAATACTTTGAATAGCTAAGCGATGCCCACAAAACGGGCGTCGGTATCGCTGACGACCACAATCAAACATTGATTCTATAATATTTGTATCATAACAGCGGTGTGGATGATAGATATTGAATGTTCATCTTGTTTTGCCTTCATTATTAATATAATCGCTGAACTCATTGATTTACAACCCTTTGGGCTATGTACTGGGGCACAATGACCGTGTACTTCTGCGCGTTCGATCACGTGAATCGAACTGCCTCCTGAAATCGTTAACTGTCTAACCTTATAACCTACGATACCTTGAGCTTACCGTCGAGCCGATCCGTTTTCAACGACCAAATCGGGTCCGCTATGCGCTGCTCGGAGACGATATACAACACTCCAAACAGGTGGCCATCCCTTGTCGCGGCAAGCTTCGAGCCCGTTTCGAGACGTCGAAACAACAGTTTAATGAGTTAATCGTGTACAACAAACTTATTTTCCAACGAAAAGCACTCGCGTTTTGTTCCTAGCGATTATACGTTATCAATGAGATTTTATCATCGATGTGTTCTGACGTATTAAAATTCGCCTAATTTCTCAATATCATTAGCATTTGTTAGACTGTGAGCGCTCTTCGATCCCACGGAGCATCGCGAAGATGTGTGACTCTGGAAGCATTACTAAACAATGACGATAGTCCCGTGTTCGCAAACGACAGTTAAGCACACGCCTATGCACCTGTCCCAATGAATCATTAAGACATAACCTAAAACAGTTAAGCTATTAGCGGTAAAAGAACAGCGTTTACGCATGCAGAAGTCTGGCCCTGCCTCTTGAACGTGTTGAACGCCTGAACGTGAACTGAGGATTCATTGTTGTGTTAAGACTGCACGATGGTGATGAGCATCATTCATATATTATCATTGTTTTATCGTTGAAATGATTTTCTCACTGGCAGCGCATCGTCACAACTTCATTGTGGTTAAACAATGGCGGTAACCATATACAATCGTATTTTCGGCATAGTTCTTTCCTTACTTCGCCATATGACTGCAAGAGCTAAGGCTTCTGCACTCACAAGGTCTGTGCTACCTTCGACATTACCGCTAATCGTTAAGATATTAGTTAGAACGGAACTAGACATCTGGAGCTTAAAGCCAGCCTTTCCAGTAGCTTTTTCCAATGCGCTCTTTAGTTTTTTTAAGGAACGAGGACAAGTACAATGTCAAACTATACTGCGAGCGTTCGTTGTTCAGCAATTTTCATGAAAAGACGGAATTTTCAGAACCAGCTGAATACACAATGCCGAGGTCAGCTATGGCATTCAGTAGGGAGACCGTGTGTATTCCTGTCCAAGAGAAATCCACTCAGAATTTGGAGAGCAAAGGAATTGTAGTTAAAGCCACGGCAATCGAACGCTATCAACCAACTGACAGATTGTGTCACAGTGGCTGCCGACAGGAAATCGTGTTAACTATGGAGAATGTTCGGACGAAGTCGACGAGATTACGGGGATTTTCTTATTGATATTTTATGCCATCAGTAAGCGACATAGGAATCTGGGTTATCTCATTTAAATTGCCTAAATTGCATGAAGCGAACAGTGCATGAAGACTTAATTGTAAGAGACTAGTTGGAAAAAGGCTGCACAACATTTGCCGTCGACTAAACAGGACTTCGTATGCTTTTCTCTAGCGACACCTTCTAGTAATATCTGTTACATTTTCCCTGTCAAAAAAAATAGAAAAATATTTTTTGAAATTCTGCGGCGTATTGAACTGAGTTGGAATAAATAGATTACTTTAGAACTGAAACTCGACTCGCTCCAATATCGTCAGTTAAAGACTGAACCATTCATAAAAGTTACCTAAATAAGCCCAACAATAGACCTATTTCGCCATAAACCATAGGTTACGACGTATTGGCTTTGCGTATGTTGCCCATCGCCTCGTCCGTATAAATTACATAAGCAGTAAATGAACAAGTTAATGCTCGGGCTTGAACTTCGCTTCACAGTCGACCACCAGTTAAGTTTTCGACTGGTAATGAGCGCAGCTATGAAACATCATTCCTGCCAGCTTCAAACATGCTCAATGTCCATTAAAAGTTCCACACCAACAATTATGTAGCTATCAGCAACTTTACTGTTATTACAGATGTCGTATCCGACTAGTGTTGTCATTTAAATTTGCCCGCAACCGTTGTCCCAAAAAATAAACACATTGAGTGTTCCCTATGATCGCTGATTTTTCTTTGGACCGATCCACTGCAAATGCCACGAGAAGGGCCCAATTCTAGAACGCTAAAAGCCCAAAATGAAGTCAAAACAAAATAAAACTCCGTAGCGTACAAAAACACATGCACGACTTCTACGCTGAGAGCAAAGACAATCCATTATCATATACTGTCAGTAAGAAAAAAAAGAAAAGATGAAAAATTATGTTTTTTTCTTATCGTCGATGTCACGGCACACGGCGCAGCACACCGATCACTTCGAAGTTCCGTAGTTTCATTAGCCTTTGCAGTTTACATGACCTGGCTAGGTGTTGTGGGTCTCGGTCAATTTATTAGTAGCTATTTGAACGGGTTTTTACCCTAGCTTTAATTGAGTTGCCGTAGTAAAGGCGTAGTAGTGTCTCCCAGCATATACTGAGCCACTGGACCTTGACGCGTTCGATTATATAATATAGCCTTCGAAAAACATCTGCGTAATATTACCCAGACCATCATCTGCGATAGAGAGACATTTCGTCATGTACCCGACTTGCAGTAGATGCGGTGTTTCGAGACCCGAGTTCAGTCTACAAGAGCCCAGTGAACGAAACATTTTTCCAATAAGGCCGAAAAGTGAATGAAAAGAATTGAACTTTGGGAACAAATTAACTTGAGAGATTTCCTTCCGGAAGATGTACGATTGCATGCGAAATATTTACTCGATCGGGGAAACCAGATTACGTGCATCGGAATGGGTGCTGCGTTATTTTAAGCTATGTTATCCATTGGTATCGCAAAAAGCTTTATAAACATGCCTAGCAGTCTAGTTTCGAAAAAAACTGCTATTGCAAAGATTATTCTCGCAATCAGATCTAACGATCAGAGTCTGACAAATTTTATTTGCATGTTGACAAATGAGAGGGCTTCACTTCAGAAAACTCACTTTGACGTCTCCGATCTTCTGTTAGCGAGAATCGATTCCGCTGAGCTTCAATTGGCTGCGGATCCCCAATATCTTCTTGTCCCCAAGACCTTCTTGTCGGTATCAGACCTGTGCTATGATTAACGTTAGCTGTTTTAAGCATTTATTATAATATCGGAGCCTAATTAAGGAGTTTATCTTCTTTCTTAACTAGCTCGAAAGGGTGTTTATGTTATTACTTTACGAATTATTAGGTCATTGACTTATGAATGGCACGAGGGTATTATTTCCTACACAGACACATATCTCCCGAGAGGACTTCTAGCAAATCATGTTTTTTTTTTATGAATATCGATTTTAAGGGTAGAAAGCATATCGGTACCCCTTTAACGCTTTAATAAAATAACTAATGAATAAATAACTCAAAAGTCAATAATTTTTTCCCATGAAGCAGTTCCATAGAAATTTTTTACAATGATCCTACTTTATCTTATTTGAGTCTATTATAAATAATACTTCACGGTAGAGCAAGCGCGGGACAATATATCTTGTATTAGTGCAAAATAAATTTATTTATAAATATTCTATTTGTACATTTTTTTCTATGGTTCTTTGTGTATATATACGTACATATATATATACATTGATTCGAAAGTAGATGTGTATGGTAGGGTTGGTCTGCCCGGCCAACTCTAACTATTGTGTTCTTATTGAATTCGTACATCTATCAGCTTCTGTGGTCGGGCAATACCGACATGTTCACCTATTAAACTCAGTGACACGTGGTGGCTTTAGGATGAAATCGAGCGTAGGTACATTTTGCCTTGTACTGGGATCCAGCTCTTGATTGAACGCTTAACGTTACCTAACGAGGTAGATATTTATTTGTATACTTGCATATATTTGCATAGAACATTTTGAATCAACTCTAGGGCAATGCTGTTAGCCATCGCCATGTGGGTAAATACGATTCGTGGCATGAATGGCCGTTCTTTGCGCATAGAATAGCATTTGGTTAGGAGAACCAATTGTACCAAAGCATTTCCACAGAGAGCCTTGGTCCTAACAACGTAAGTGCTGTTAATAATATCTACTACGGTGCGTCGGCCCTTTCATAGTGGTCGTCATAGCCGGATAGACGCATATTAAGTACTTACTTCAGTGTGTCTTAGCCAAAGTACCAAACCATTTAATGGTTGCCACATCAATAACTAGCCATACATTGTTAGCACCACTAGACTGTAGATTGAGGCGTGTATAACAATGCTCGTGACTGTCCTCATAATGTTTAACAATGATACCGTCGCTATCGCGGCGGTACTAGTGGATTTTTCGAAGACCGTCGTCGCTATTAAGGCAAGTACGTTCTTGCCCCTTGTTGAGCATGAAGAGCTCATTTTAGGTATAGGAACATGTGTGGCATATCGATCCCGTTCATTGTCAGCTTTCAACTGGCAACGACACACACCTATATAGAACCTTTTGTGTCAAAAAAGGATACCATTTAGTCAAGTCCTGGCTTAAAATTTGCATCTAAATATAATTTCCCTCAGGGGCTACAGTTTCTGCGTGCACTTCGCTAACAAATTCCAAATAAAAATAGTTTTAGAAAGGCAATTTTTTTTTTTATCTCACATTACTGTTAGACCTATTGTTAGCATTGCTGTGTTCTCTCTGAAGTTTTTCTTCGATTATTTATCTGGAAATCTATCACTACAGATCGTTTACTGCAAGCGTTCGGCTCTATAGTGTCGAAGGGTCTTGAACAAGCATTCAACAGATCTTCAATCCACTATATTTAATCTTAATACGCTAACGCTGTAATAGTTCTATCAAGTGTCACAGAGTCACTGCTTACTAAGCGATTCGGGCGGTTTTCTGCCAGCTTAGTACTAGGTTGACTGACAAATGACGAAAGATAATTAAGATGGTGATTTATCTCACAGGAGTCGAAGAGCATCAAAACGTTGCTTTGTATTACATTCGGCTTTAATAGGCTCGGCCATGAGAATAACAAGGGACAAATAAAACTTGGGAAAAATTAATTTAGCGATAAACTGATGATGAGAAGATATTAAGCTGATAATTCGTAAGGTTTCTTCTTAAGGCCTTCAAGAGAAAAAATGTTCCTAGAGATTTAATTTCAAGCAAGAAATTTGGCTGATATTTCTGATAAAAGTGCGTTATTAAAGTCAGTCAGTCTACCTTTTTTTTGTTTAACAACTTTACATAGAACTAAGGGGAAAACTAAGCAAAAACACTGAGAGAAAACAGTGCGAATTGTACATATCAATCGGCTCCTCAACGACTCTAATATTTTTCTTCCGAGTCGACGGCCCGGGTATAAGTCAGCTTCGGCTATACCATACAATAAATTAAATGTAAAATAACGATCAAACGACTTGCCCGTTGTCGCAATAGTAAAGTGTCTGACGTGTCCATATGACATTAGGGGCAACTCTGTCTTAGTTTGGGTTATGGGGCTTACAATGTATTGGTTATCTCTTGGTGAACGATTGGGGTTGCATTTCTACTTCGATCATGATACGTTCCTCTCCACGTGGAAGCTAGAAAATTCGTATTCTGGGCAACGCTTTTCTCTCGTATCGTAGCCGTCAAGCCAGTTAGATATTATTGTTGTGTACCAGTACATAAAGCACTTGATAACTTGTAAACACTCCACCATTAGCTGGCTGCATAGGCAATGCCCGTTGCTGGTTAGTGCTCCGGTGTTTTGATTTTTGCTTTGTTGATGAAGACGAACAGTTTTATACTATCGAAAAACCAGTTTTTTTCTTCACAACAACTATTCATACCGTTTTGTCTAAATACCTTTATACTTCTCTCTTGGGCACGGAGCCCAAAAACCGCTATATCAACTAACAAAAAACGGATTTCCCCAAACAAAGCAGTCGGATAGCGCTAACGCACACTTCATTTTCTGACCACGTGGATGGACTGCTATGTGGCTGTCTGTCGAACGCCGAAATGACAGACCGGCCCTTTCTGGGCACGTTATGATAAGAGCTCTCATTTAAACCAGCTCATTGTTAGGCGGCATATTGAGCGCAAACGTTATATCAGTCAGCGACGACGCGTAACTTCTCTAACGTCATACTGACGATTATGGTCAGCTCATACAAAGGGGCAACTAGAACAGATGACTCAACACGCGGTCTCACTGCTAGGGACTGGTAAGCCTATGATCCTGTGAGGTGAGTCGGTTTATCGAAGTTGATTTCTGGCTTGTTATTCCGATTTTGTTCATAGCTTTCGAAAGGTGCATAAGGAAGCCCACACATAGAAGGACCGAGGGCATAAAAGAGAGCCTATCACACGAAACCAATTGAAACGCGTGCACAGAATCAATTATTATTGATATTGGATCAGGTTGACGTAACGTCCGCGTAGCGTTCTCCGCATTGGCTTTATTTCTATTAGAAATGTTAAATAGTGCGCAAACGTTAGAACTTCACGTGTTCTTTTGTTATTAAGTGAAAGCTAAAATTCGTCTCTACAGGTGCATATTGTCGACTAATCGAAGATAGACAAATGAGGACTAAATGTTCTGAGTCGGATTAATAGAAGATACGGTAAATGAAGCCGATGTTAACACCACATTCATGAGGATAGCCAGTTATTGGCTTACTCAATTCTATCTCGTGCCAATTGCTCCGTGTAGAATATTCACATTTTGTCCACTTTCAAATTTTGAGATCGTCTGATCGAACGGACATATTCCGCCTACAAGAAACC